CACACAAAACCACACACACACACACACACACACACACAACACACACACACACACACACACAGGTATATACATACACGCAGACGTTCGCATACATGCATACACACACGCACATACATGCACGCGCACGCGCACGCACACGCACAGGCGCAGGCGCGCGCACACACACACACACACACACGCACGCACGCACGCACGCACGCACACACACACACGCACACGCACACGCACACACACACACACACACACACACACACACACACACACACACACACACACACACACACACACACACACACACACACACACACACACACACACACACGCACGCCGAGGTAGGTCAGGTTGGCACATAGCCAACTCTGTAAACACGGCTGGCGGCGCCGATAACGGCGGTCATGTGACGCATTGGAACGTGACTTGGTCAGGTGCAGAACACTTACCGATCAGCTTGATAAGGTCCTGAATGTAGTCCTTCTGACAAATCAGTGAGTGGAAATTCCTCCCGCAGTTTTTCACGCATGTCTCCAAAACCTGGTTAGACAGAAATAAAGCATGCAGTGACATTTCAACAAGAAGGATAAAATATGAAACCTTCATAAATTTACAGTGCGCCATCTTTACAAATATTCATCGATAAGATCTGACCAAAAATCGCATGACATTTCGCCCATTTGGCAACTTGGCATGACCCTCTTAAGGCAAATTACTCCGACACGTTCTCGACAGAGGTTGGTTCCATTTCTTATCCGATTTCAGATATCGCAAGGTTCGGGAAGGGCTTAAGTACAATCATTGTTTCCGGTTTCAGCAATTGGCCAAATGACTCGCCCACCAGCAACAGATACTCGGTGTTTTGTAGCGATCACGCCCAACGAGGACTGTTTCCAATTCCGCCAAGAAGCATCCTTTCATCAGTACGATAGCGTCACACTCGAACATCAGGACCCCAGACCCAAAATAAAATGAATCTTTGCCACAAAACGCTTCAGTGAAAACCTTCTGCAAGCGCCCGGCCACGGCAAGGACACCACGAGACGCCATCGCTCTGCAAGGCGAGCCCAGCGCCGCCCTGTGCGGGGGCGTAGCCGGCGCGAGTGGGCCCGCGGCCGGCGCAGGCCGCGCCTGACCGCCACTCACGGTCAGCGTGTACATGACGGCGGCGTAGTTCTTGCCGGAGAAGTGGTGCAGCCGCTTCTTGATGGCGCGGGCCGCGTCGCGCGCCGCCTCGTCCGACGCGTTGACTAGGTCGCAGATCTCCATGTTGCGACTCCAGTCTTCGGAGGCAAGCGACGGGTCGGTCGCCTCCTCTGCGCGACACGGCGACCCCGTCGGGGCGTCAGGGGGCGGGGGTGGGACGGGGCGAAGCTGCAGGACGCGGCCAAGGGCTGGAGACAGGCGCCCATGGGCGGTGCCCGCACGGGAGCGTTCAGAACAGGTGGCAAGAGAAATGCTGCAGGCCAGGCTTACCGATTTTGTGTCCCACTGCGGTGGTCATGGGGTTTCCAGCAAACAGGTTTGCCATAGCCCCAGCCATGCTTGCAAGTGGCTTTGGTTTTGTATGAAATCTACCAACTGCAAGGTCTTTGCTTCTGGAACTCTGTGCAGTGTCTGTAACACAGGAGAAAAATTAATCATAAATTGTAACTAAAATTACTCTTACTTCAACCTCTAAGGCCTACTCATCAATTGCCATACATAGAGTCAAGTAAAGTCAAGTCAAGAAACTGAGCCTGGTTCAACCAAATGCTTCAGCCAGACTCAGTTTCCAGCTTTGACAGCCTTAGTTCACTCCAAGTCATGACTTATCATTGATGTGTGCTGCAAGATTTTTGGCTGCCCATTGCTTGCTTGGGCAAAATTGGGAGACTGATGGTGTGGATGCACAGTATTTTATCCAGAACAATTGCTGTTTTTAATTTTCCTGATAACACCGCGCAAAGTACTGGAAGGGGCACAAGTAGTAGTGCTGTATGTTTGGGAAACCAGAGGCATGGGTGTGATACCTTGTGGTGTTGCCCTTCTTGCCAGAGGGGGCCCAGTCAATGTCATATAACCTGAACCCCTAATTGATTAAGCAGTCCTAATAAGTATGCAAAGTACTGCAAGACTGCTTTGTTTTGGCTTCCACATTTACAGCCATGAAATAGGCTGGCTGTTTGAAAATGCCAGCAGATTGCATGATAGGAGTGCTAAGACACACCCAGCTCCTGTGGCTGTGCCATCACCACACATATCTCATAGAAATTTCCCTTGGATAAGCTTCTGTGTTCTATACCATGAACAATATTCACAGCTACACATTCCTAGCTAAACTCACAGTAAGCCAATCACTTTATAGCTATCAGCATGTATGTGTTGCTTGCTAAACTCACAGTATACTAACTACTTTTTGTGGTTTAAAGGGATGATTAAGAGGAAGTGTTAGTATCACATATGGAAATGGATAACTGTTTGCCAGACCATCATCATCACATGGTCCTTGGGTATAAACACTTATGTACCAGACAAGGACAATAATCTGAATAATTATTCTAGGTATGGGACTATTTGTACAGTTCTTCACATAATAGGATGGCAAACCTATTTTTATAAGCATGTAACAGTATGGGTACATCACCAATGATTTTTGTATCTACCTTACATGAGTCGCACACCCATTTCTGTAAATATCTAACAGTAGGGATGCATTACCACTGTTACTCTCATCTACCACACAGGACTGTGTCTACCACATTCTAGTGAAAAGCTTTCTATTTACATATAAAACCTTTAGTAATTCCCCTCCAACCTTTGTCACCCCTGTTGTTGTCTGATGACTTGCTATATCAGTTGATGAAACTCCCAGTGACAGATCTGAATTCACATCACAGAAAGCAAACTTGTAAAGCTTATCTCTGATGATGCATCAGCAGCTATCATCCAGGTTGAAATATGGGCAGGCATATCATGGCACCCCAACTCAATTGCACAAATAAACAAGTGTCAGTCATAGCCATGGTCATGGCACGCTGCTGACCCATTGCCCATGTCCTTAGGCAAAACACCGCCTGTCGCATTAGGTTAGAATTGGTTTGCTTGGGCAGTGACGACCTTGTTTTCTCAATGGCTTATCGGTAGCACAGACTGCCCAGACCATGATCCCTGTCATCCGTGTAAACACTCAAGCCACTTCTCCTTCAAAGGATTTAATAAAGTAGTATCTGAACTTAAAATACCACTGCTTTCCCGACTAGAGACTGGTAGAAACCAATAACTGGCAGAACGCCCCCCACTTTGCACATTACCCCCAACTCTGATTCACAGTCCGCTGCTTCCTGACAGCTTGTGACAGCCACACACCACCCAGAACCAGACGCACTGACCAAGGTCATTCACGAACGACGCAGCAGAGACAAAATAGGCGGCAAATTAGGACTACGCCACTAAAACATTTGTAGTAGCGAGCCCGGCGTTCGACTTGGAGGCCGTTGGCTGGCCTGAATGCTGAAGACATCACTTACGGTAGTATTCTACGCCTTTTATTGGTCATTTTTGTAATTTTTGTGTGAGGACTGGGTTGTTCCAAGAGCCAGTTTGCGTGCGAGTTATGGGTGTCAACACAGAAGAGCAGATACTTTTATTCTTGAGTGTGGCTGCCAAGCATGCTTGAATTTTAAGCATATTTTGTAAGGTTCCAGCTAGGTTCCTTAAGGTTACATCTCTCTTATGAAAAGCAACAGGACTCTTTTGGTCCTGCACCTTTAGTTAAATTACTTTCCAAACTGATTTTACCTTGGGTAATATCAATGCAGGCCCCATTCCAATTGAATGGTCTGTATCAGCTAAACCTGGTAAGTAGATCATGCAATATTTGCTGAGTGTGACATCTGTATCTGTGGTAGCTCACACTGTTGGGATGTTTCTTAATGCAGAACAAACAGGAAGAGTTGGTTTCTGCCCAGTGTTGTGCTGTCTGACCACAAAAGGAGGAGTTGAAATGTGATTCAAATGTATATTGCAATCAATTAATATAATTTATAGCTTCTGGATCACATAGCTTACATGTTTCATACTTGTGTAACTGTTGGATTAATTGGAGAGTCTTCATGTGTAGTTTCTTTTTGTGAGATGTGTAACTCAAACACAGATGGCTAGCTTAACACTTGTGTAAACCTTCACACATCAGGTACACTTGTACACACCTTTCTGAGTGGCACGTAAGTGCACCCAGTGTAGGTGCACCTATAGTTGTGCTTGTTCTGTAACAGAAAAAGAGGGAATGAGATAGGTCCCAAGCCATGCCTGTTGCACACCAATGCTGGGATCATCTACCTCAGGAGATGTTCCAGCAGCCACCTCTGAAGCTGCTCCAGAACTACCTGATTATAGAAATGTAGGGAAGCATATGGTTTTCAGGTGTACTTTGTGCAACAAGTGTGATAATCACCACCTTGACCAATGGCTATGGTGGAAGTTTTACAAAACCTGATGTGAAGACCAAAACAAGTGTAATATGTTTTTGTCATGTGACATGTGTTGTGTATTTATGAACAGGCACCCTGATTTGATGATGTGCTTCATTCACAGCCTGTTGAAGGCTGCCGACCACAGAGAAGTAGTTACTTCATCAGCCAGAATGCATCCTAGAGCACAGGGTCAGATGGACCCTTTGCAGAGCTTAAGAAGAATGGACTTTCCATATTGTGTTCATGAGGCACTCAAGAAACTGGGTGAGGACCTTTACTAGGTTTTAGAAACCCACTGATTCCTTGTTCTGTGATTATTGTGTAGATCATAACTTGTGTCATTCAGGAGATCATTGCTCAAAGATCATGTGTTTAAAAAGTTTCATTGGTTGTGAGATGACCTATGATCAGTTACTCAGTGTGTTCAGCCATAAATATTTTTACCAATATACTGACATTTTGAACTCCACTGGTTTTGAAGTGTGGCAGTTAGCCTTTCAAACAAGAATGGCACATGGTATTAACTCAACCATCCTCTGGGTATCTCATAGCACAAGAACATTGAACTGCCATATCTCCCAAACAAAACTCCCCATGCCCCAGCTACTGGCGTGAGCCTTGCTGAGGCGGTGATCGGCAGGACACTGACCACCACGCCGGCCTGTTCCAGACTCTATGGTTCGTCAGGAGCCGTCGCGGGTGAAGCCGACCCTGCCATTCGTGCAGTCTCTCGTCAATGAGTTTATCATCTTTGACAGCAGTGGCTCCAGCAAACACCGACGGGTGAGATATGGGGCGCTGAGATGATAGGACCAGATCATAGTGTAATTGTTTGGTTTTCCTGGCTGCATCTGGCTGTTAAACACATAACTATCCGGGCATTTTGCTAGCGAAATTTGGCGTGCATGGAAACTTAAAGAACTGTCCATTTCATCATGCTACAGTCCATGTATCCTTACAGTTTTGTCATATAGGTGAGATACAGTTTTAAGAGATCATCACATACTTACACCACCATGTTCAGCAGCTGGTCAACCTGTGTTGATGCATTGAGGGCGCTGCACATGTACCTTTTTAACACTGTGCTCATATTGATTGTTCAGATCGCATGTCACGTAGAAAGTATCGGTGCTCGGGTACACATTCTCTACCAGACCCGTGGCTATGCCTCTTTTGGACGCGTGTGCAGCGAGCTCTCTGCTTCAGACGCTGAACAGCATTCAGAGTCTTCAGCTGCTGGAAGTGCTCAGCGACTACTTCAGCGTCCACAGCTCCGACGCGACGCGGGCGACGGTGAGGACTGGCGAGCGCGCTGCTGCCGCCGTCTCACGCGTGGAATTGACGCCGTCATGCAGATTCGCCTTCGTCGTGTGATGTCAGTTGCGTGGTTTGTGCCGCTTCGTCAGTGCCGACTCTCGAAATGCATCGACAGCAAATTTCTCCGGATTTCGGTCGGAACGAATGAAAACAGGTGTGGAATGGGACTGGACCAGAGTTCTGTAGAGCGCGCCATTAAAATCACCGTCGTGTTTTCCGCGGGAGGCGCGATAGTACTGCTGGAGTAAACTGATTCGAAGAGAGGCATAACAGGTGTGTAAAAGTATTCCACCCTCTCTGAGGCTGTGTAAACTTGGTTGTTTAGATGTCACACCCACGGTTCTTTCGAAAGATTCACCTAATGTCGGGAACGTAGCAGGTGCTCTAGGCCCGATGCCATGAGGCAGCAAGATTTTTTACCTGCACCGGAAGTGGTCACGAGAACCACTGTCGGGAGGTGTTCTTATTGCGGGATGTTTACCTGGGGGCTGGTGGGATGCAGAACACATGTGGTGCAAAAACGCTTAGTTAAAAGAAAAATTGCCATGGAAAGCGATTCCAAATTTAAGCCGCTCAAAACATTTGAAGTAAGTGTCGTGGCCATGTCCCGAAAAAAGTGTTGGAAGCAGAGCTCAGTGACGCTTCGTTGAAGTCGGTTTCCGAGACTGGTATCGCATGTCATTTTATTTTCTTCGTCTCAAATCTAGCATCCCGTATTTTGTCAGTCATGCTGTGTTGGCTTAATGGTTCTGTCCGATCTTTGCACGCCCTGTCCGGTTTACGAGGCTCCATTCGGCTCCGGCCTAGCACACCGGTTACCGTCTACCTTCCGTCCGATCCGTACCGTACCGATACCGTCCGATCGTTACCGTCTGCCGTGTCCGATGGCTACCGTCTGCCGTGTCCGGTGGTGCCTGTCTGCCTCGTCTGATGGTTACTTTCTTCCTCGTCCGATGGTTACCGTCTGCCTTGTCCGATGGTTCCCTTCTGCCTTGTCCGGTCCAGCTTGATCTGCCCGGTCCCATCCTGGCGCGTTTGCCCCAGGGTTCAGGTTCCATCCACCTGTTCCGTCTGCTCGTCATGTGCCCCATCCATTCTTTAGCTGCTCTGCCATGGTTTATCTTTCTCTGTCCTGTCCCTGCCCGTTCCCTCCGTTCTTCTCCTATTGTGTCTGGTCCCCTCTGCCTCGCCTGTCCTGTCCGTTGCCTCTTCCGCCTCCTCCCCCTGTCCGCTGCTCCGCGTGTCCTGTCCGCTGCCCCTTCCACTGCCCCCTCCCTCGTCCGCTGCTCAACCTGTCCTGTCTGTTACCCTCCCCCCGTCCACCTGTCTGCGTGCCTCAGCCGTGTGACCCCTGCGCGCCCTCCGTGTCTACGCCAGGCGTTCCAGCTGCTGTTCCAGCCGGCCGGCGGCGGCCAGGAGGCGGCGTCCGGCCGCCGGGTGACGCTGCTCACGCGCCTCGCCTCGCTGGCCGTCTCCACGCGCTGTCGGCCCGTGCTCACCTGTCTCGGCGCCTGGGTCATGGTGAGAGGACTGGAAGAGTCGATAGAGGAGGACAGCGTACATGCATACATACATACATACATATGTACATAAACACATTCACTGCCAGTCAACTATGTCGTTTATGTACGCCCATGCGTCTGCGGTATGCGTTTATGAATATACTGTCAAATTTTGGAAAGTATATTTATTAACGACCTCTCTCCAGCCTTACATGCAGTGCCGGTCAGCTATGTTGCTTATATGCGTCCGGGCGTCTGTCGTATGCGTGTGTGCGTGAGCTGTGCGTTGTGCCGACCGGCAGCAGCTGGGCTGCACGTCGGCGGCGGCGCTGCGCCTGACCGAGTCGCTGGTGGAGGACCACCTGCTGGAGGAGCCGGCGGCCGACGGCGGCTCGGCGGCGGACGAGCTGCCGCAGCTGGCGCCGCAGCTGACCGCCTGCCTGCTGACGGCCGTGACGCACCTGCACCGGGACCTGCGCTCGCGGCCCCCGCCGGCGGCGCTCCTCAGACAGGTACACTGACGGGGTTGTGGAGGTCTGCACGGGGACCTGCGCTCGCGGCCCCCGCCGGCGGCGCTCCTCAGACAGGTACACTGACGGGGTGTGGAGGTCTGCACGGGGACCTGTGCTCGCGGCCTCCGCCGGCGGCGCTCCTCCGACAGGTACACTGACGGGGTGTGGAGGTCTGCACCGGGCCTGCGCTCGTGGCCCCCGCCGGCGGCGCTCCTCAGACAGGTACACTGACGGGGTGTGGAGGTCTGCACGGGGACCTGCTCTCGCGGCCTCCGCCGGCGGCGCTCCTCCGACAGGTACACTGACGGGGTGTGGAGGTCTGCACGGGGACCTGCGCTCGCGGCCTCCGCCGGCGGCGCTCCTCAGACAGGTACACAGACGGGGTGTGGAGGCCTGCACCGGGCCTGCGCTCGTGGCCCCCGCCGGCGGCGCTCCTCAGACAGGTACACTGACGGGGTGTGGAGGTCTGCACGGGGACCTGCGCTCGTGGCCCCCGCCGGCGGCGCTCCTCAGACAGGTACACTGACGGGGTGTGGAGGTCTGCACGGGGACCTGTGCTCGTTGCCCCCGCCGGCGGCGCTCCTCAGACAGGTACGGCCCGCGCCGGCGGCGCTGCTCGGACAGTTACACAGACGTGGGTGTGGAGGTCTGCGCGGGGACCTGTGCTCGCGGCCTCCGCCGGCGGCGCTCCTCAGACAGGTACACAGACGGGGTGTGGAGGTCTGCACGGGGACCTGCGCTCGCGGCCTCCGCCGGCGGCGCTCCTCAGACAGGTACACTGACGGGGTGTGGAGGTCTGCACGGGGACCTGTGCTCGCGGCCTCCGCCGGCGGCGCTCCTCAGACAGGTACACTGACGGGGGTGTGGAGGTCTGCACGGGGACCTGCTCTCGTGGCCCCTGCCGGCGGTACTCCTCAGACAGGTACGGCCCGCGCCGGCGGCGCTCCTCCGACAGGTACATAGACGGGGGTGTGGAGGTCTGCACGGGGACCTGTGCTCGTGGCCTCCGCCGGCGGCGCTCCTCCGACAGGTACACAGACGGGGGTGTGGAGGTCTGCACGGGGACCTGTGCTCGCGGCCTCCGCCGGCGGCGCTCCTCCGACAGGTACACTGACGGGGGTGTGGAGGTCTGCACGGGGACCTGCTCTCGCGGCCTCCGCCGGCGGCGCTCCTCAGACAGGTACACTGACGGGGGTGTGGAGGTCTGCACGGGGACCTGCGCTCGTGGCCCCCGCCGGCGGTACTCCTCAGACAGGTATACAGACTCGGGCGGGCCCTCAGACGGACTGTTGGTTTACCCGTCCCGAGCGGTGACACAGATGTGTACGCGGCGGCGGCACAGATGGGCGCGACGGGCCTCGCCGACCGCCATCTGTGCACAGGCCTCACTGCCAGGGGTACAGCCCTGCCCGCGCCGCCCGCCGCCGACGGCCGCTCTGTCCGTGGCCGGCAGGTGCTGCGCTGGCTCGAGGCGGCGCCGACGCTGCCGCTGGTGCCGCTGGCCGGCGCCGGACCCGTGCCGCTGCCGAGCTCGGCGCCGCCGCCGGCCGCCGCCTGCCCCGTGGCCGGCCTGTGGGCCTGGACCGTGCTGGCGGCGGCGCTGCACGCCGAGACGCCGCCCATGGCGCGCCTCCACCTGCTGCTCATGTCCTGCCTGCTGGTGAGAGGGGAGGGGAGGGGCGCTGTGCTGACGCTGCCCTGACATCACAGATCCTGGCATCCGGGCAGGATGGGTGATGTCTGGGCTGACCCCTACACACGGACGGGGTGTTGTGTTGTGTTGTTGTGTTGTGATGATGTGAAGCCGGATGTGTTGTAAGCGATTACAAACTCGCGGCGTTTCAGGTCTGCATAGTATTATGTAGTTGTCAGTTGGTCGGCAAGTGGCATTGTCTTGGTTCTGGCTTCAACGCTTGTTCGATCGATATGTTCTTTTACCCAGTCTGTAGGAGAGCGATGGCTTTGGCTTATTTCCATCGCCGTTTTTTTTTTTGTGTTGCCTTTGTGTCCGGTTCGTGCTGAATGTGTAGTGGGTGGTTTCGGACTAGTCCGGGTGTTATGAGTTCAGAGTCGTTACGCTGAGTTATCGACTTCAAGTATACCAGCAGGTACTGGTTAAATGCTGCAGTGCGAGCATTGGTTATGTTGACAGTACTGGACGGCTGAAGCTGAGCCTATGATACTAGTCAGAAAATGAGAACTCTTAACTTTTAATGCTGAAAAATTGGGATCCGAAGGCCTTTCTGTTAATACCAAGATACCAATGTACTTTTTTTTGTGCGCAGCGTGGCCCCTGCTGCGGCGTGTCACGCGGTTGTGCGGCTGTTCCAGTCTGTCTGGAGTGTTTGTTTTGGCGTTTAGAGACAGTTGGTTGCCGTGTGGCGTTCGACAGGTGTCTGTTCTTCACAATGCGTGACAACGTGTCTGGATGTTTCCTCTTCGTGCTGTGCTCCGAATTTATGCGGGGGTTTATCCGCGTTCGTGTACAGGTGACATTGCAGTAGGCACATGTGTGGAATGTGAATATCGGGGAGCCCATACCATGGATGATCCGAAATACGTGTTCGCATTTATCGTGAGGTGTCCCACCGGATCAGATGTCCTTCCTGTCCCCTCCCTGATCCCCTGACCCTGGCCCTGACCCTGACCCTGACCCTGACCCTGACCCTGACTCTGACCCTGACCCTGTCCCCGGACAGGAGATGCCGCGGCTGCGGCCTCAGATGGCCGGCCGGCCGGCGCTGCTGACTCGCGGCCAGCTGTGCCGGCTGGTCGACGCGCTGGTTGATGCCGGCCTGGGCGGGCAGGCGGCCGAGCAACCGACCGCCGCCCAGCAGCTAGCGCTTGATCGTATGGCCCAGCTCTTCCAGGTGGCCCTGGCTGTCGACGGCCTGGGCGCCAGCAAACGTGAGTAGTCCGGCTGGCACCGCGACGCGTCTCTATTCCGCGAATGGATGTTAATCAGTTCACCAGTTCAACATTTTCGTGCATCAGCTTGCCGGTTCAGTTCAGTTTAGTTCATCAGTTAAATTCAGTAGATCAGTTCAGCTCAGTGCATCAGTTCAGTTCAGTTCGTCAGCTCAATTCACCGTAAGCGCGGCTGCACGTGACGGGTCGTGGGGGGGGGGGGGGGGGCGCCTCTGTCGGCAGTGTCCAACCGGGCAGACTGGCGCACCGGCAGCGTGGTTGTGTAGTTGTGGGCGGGCACGTGGCGTGTGTTGTCGGACGCTCGAGCCGCGTGCCCGCGGTCGCTCCCGCCACCTGTCGACGGGCGTGGCGTCCCCGCTGGGACGCGAAGCCGACGCGCCGTTTGGGGTCGCGTTCGGCCAAGGGAACATAATCCAACGAATAATTATCTCTCCGATGATCATTCGCGGATATTCTCCATTTACACTCTGCCGGTCCGAAAATTATCCCCTAGATTTGTCTTTCATGCGACATCCACAGCCAACGGTCGTAGCTATGCATAGCGAAAACAGATTCTCCGTCTTGACCACGCTCTGAAAATTCTCTGGGATTCTCCCTCGCTACAAAAAAATTATCTGGGGTAACTTTCTGTGTCGGCCGTGCTGAACGCCATTCCGGAAAATTTCCAACATTCCGGATAATTTTCCGAGATTATCTGCCGGCCGAACGCGACCTTGGTGTGACACCCGGGGCACGGCCGGTCGCGACCTGCTTTGACGTGGCGCGCGCGGCCCGCAGGGGACAGCCTGGACCAGCTGGGCCGGCTGCGAGTGACGCGGCTCATCCAGATCGTCCTGCAGCACAACAGCTAGCGGCGTCAGCCGCAGCCTGACGCCAGGCCGATCTCCGGACGACGGCCCGGTACAGGTGGCGCCAGCGGTCGCTCTGCACCACCTGCTGCTCACAACACCTCCCGGGCTGTACACAACCCCCGAGCTGTCCACAACACCCGCTGTGCGTTACATCTGGCCTGCCGGGCGTAGCTGACTGGCGGGATGGCGGCATGTCCCCTTGTCCGGTCTTTGTCAGCGGCCCGCTGGAGCGACGGCGGCTGACGGGATGGCGACATGGCCCCGCGTCCGGTCTTCGTCAGCGGCCGCTGGAGCGACGGCGGCTGACGGGATGGCGATATGGCCCCTTGTCCGGTCTTTGTCAGCGGCCCGCTGGAGCGACGGCGGCTGACGGGATGGCGACATGGCCCCGTGTCCGGTCTTCGTCAGCGGCCCGCTGGAGCGACGGCGGCTGACGGGATGGCGGCATGTCCCCTTGTCCGGTCTTTGTCAGCGGCCCGCTGGAGCGACGGCGGCTGACGGGATGGCGACATGGCCCCGCGTCCGGTCTTCGTCAGCGGCCGCTGGAGCGACGGCGGCTGACGGGATGGCGACATGGCCCCGTGTCCGGTCTGTGTCAGCGGCCGCAGGAGCGACGGCGGCATCGGTCCGCCGCCGACAGGCTGCAGGGCTGGTGCAGTGTCGAGCGCGTGGGCATGCCTTGTCGCGTGCGTTGTCGTGCTGCGTTCCGCTGTCGCCGCCGAACCCTTCGAGCGGGATACCCCGTGAAATCGGAGGCGCTTGACCTGCGTGGGGTATGCGCGAGGCGTGCCCTCCGACATGTCAACTGGCAGTCATCGTTGGTCGCGTGACGAGGCGAAAATGCCAGTCATTGTTCCGTATCCTCGTGCTGAAATGACTGTTAGTTCGCCACGTCATGAATTCAAGCATCCTGTCGTGCGCGGGTTTCGTTTTTCAAGCTCGGACGGCCTGTTGTGCTCATTTCATTATGTGATGAAATACACGTGACCAAAGCCGGATCCCGGGTTCTCCTTCGGCTTTAACCATGCGGGCGCCTGGCTTCGGCTTTGGCTTCGCGTTATTTGAAGTGGTGGCCCGGCCAGGCCAAACCGCTCGACTTCTCCGGGGGGGGGGGGGGGAGGAGCCGGCGGGGGCAGCAGCGGACGCGCCGCGCCGGGCGGTGGCGTGCGTCGACAGCAGGCCTTTGTAACAGCGAGGACCTCCTACCACTCCATGTTTGTGTGGCTTTTTTGAAACTGACCGTCACAGGCTGTGATTCAGCTCAAGACGGTGGTTGCCAGTAATGAGTGACAACGCGTTGACTGTTGCTTCGGATCGTCTCGGCGAATGAGAAGAGTTAAGGGCGTCTTGGGACGAACTAGGTGCTGTGTACATGTCTGCTGTCCACTAAATACTTCGTCGTGAAGTCTTGTCACCATCTACGGTAAGCATTGCAACGCTGGTCCCCCAAAAGGGAGCGGACAAATGCATCGTCGAAAATTTAAGCTCAGTCAACTAGTTCTCCATAGCGTACAAAATATCAGCAAAGGTGTTGGCTAGTAGCATGGAAAGATTGCAAGCGAGCTGGTATACGACGACCGAATTAGTTTGATAACTGGTGTGTTTTGGTGACAAACGTTAGAATGGCCGCTGGAACTGGCGGATAATTCGCCAAGCTTGAAAACGGCCAGGCAATTTTGGCTCATCGAGTGAAGCAGCTGCATAGAGACAGCCTCACACCAACATTATTAATCTCAGCTAGAAGAACGCGGTTAAGATCCTAGATGTCTTAAGATGTCCTGAGAACTGAAATTTGCCATATGCCGACGACGAATATATTTCCACGTGGAGTGTGGCAATCCAGATTGCAGTAATCGACGGATTATGACACGGCAGCCCGGTGTTTCAAAACTACGTAGATTGCTTATTCTATTTCGTCCTTGCTTAGCAGCCATGCATATTACTTCATGAAACATTGATGACGAATAGTGCCTAGCTCCGCATTCACCAAGAAATGCAACAAATCAAGACGGAAAAGGCTAGAGCTCAGCCTGTGAAAAAAACGTACTCTCTAATCCATTGATTTCTTGGCGTATGTCTCCGCGTAATCCGTTCGTTTCGCGATCAAATTGTCCTGCGTGGTAATGCATAGATCGTGAGGATGTTGGTGGCAGTGTTGAAAGGAGACAGGTTCTTGAGCGCGACGCGTTTGTCGCTCCGCTTGTCGATAGGGTCAATGTGGGTGTGTGTTGTGATTGTTGTTGGATGTGTAGAATGAGATTCTCTGGGGGTTACTCTGTGGCATTTCAGGGTGCGATTCCTTTACCGAGAAGCAGACGACTGCACATTTTGTCCAGATTGCATTCAACTCAGAGGAGTGAGTAGCCTTTTAGAATACGTAATCCGAAACTGTTTGATGGACGAATTTTTGTGAATAGACCCAACGTTTAGCTTTGTGTGGGCATTGCTGCGTGTGCTGTCATCTGATAAAGCCTAGGTCAACAGCAGAACTTTGCGGCGCAAGCTAACGCGTCGCAACGCGCAGCACCGTCCGCCCTCCCCTCTGACGTCACCTGACCTTGAGCGCGACCGCTGCCACCGACCCGCTGCCATCGATCTCCCCCAGAAGGGAGAGCGCTTAGGGAGCGTCGGCCGTGCGCCCATAGCAATCAAAGGCGAGACTTCAAAGTCATGATATCGCGCTTCATTGATTTCGTGTGGTCAGAGCTTCATGTTTGCATATTGTTTTCCCTAAAAAGAGTGTTTCAAGCTTTCGTAACATTTGGTACACAGACATTTTGATGAAATAGAATATTGTCAACGTTGCAGAACATACGCGCTAGCGAAATCAAGGCAAATGAATAGCAGAACTTCCGTAGTGATGAGCACTGAGCAGGGAGTCCAACGGGATTTCTCCCGCGGGAGCGTCTGCTTCAAATCAAACTTCTGCGCTTTCGCGGGTTTGGAGAAAACTGGTAATACTGATGACAGTTCGGACGCGTCTGTTCTAACAATTCCTGATGAGTTCAAAAAGGTGTCATACTTTCTTTAGGATATCAGTTTGCTGTGATGTCACTTCCATTTCGAAATGGTTTGGCTTGCTGCTACTTTTTTCGCCAGGCCTAATGTTGCGTGGGTAAATTATTTCTCTCGGTGGTGAACTCAGTGTTAGAAAAGCCTATAAGCACAGCATTACATGCATCTAAGTCCCAGGCCAAAACGCTTAGTACCAGATATGCCAAGGCAGCGTACAATGAATGTAAGATCAGTACCCACTGACATCGACATAATGCGCAGCATCATGATCACTACGTCACCTACCGGTGCCTGGCGTCATTGCTGCCATGCAGTCCGATGCTGTGAAACATCTGAAAGATCACAATCGCCTTACAGGTTTCAGAAATGCGCAAGCCAGTATGCGCAGCCTCAATCCAGTCACTCCAGCGTGCCGTAATGCTGGGCCACTGGGCCTGAACCGGACTGGACCCGTTGATGGTCCAAACATGCGTGTAAAAGCGAAAAAAACACATTGCATTGTATTGCACATAATGGGGCCAATCCACGACAGTTGACTATTATCTGACCCTGTTTAATCAGCGTGCTCGCAGGACAGGCCGTATGTGACAAAAAAAAACATGAGGCAATCTTCCCACCCATCCCACTCACACAACGCGCATGTCACACGCCTGCTGAGAAGATAATCAAGTTCATCGAATTGTGTTGCGAGTCCTTGCTTTAAACTGACGCTTTGAGTCGTTGTTTTCACCTTAAGTGATGAAAGCGGATTATTTATAGTGCAGTGCCCTTCCACTTCGGCGCAACTTCGGCGTCTGCTTTTAAAGCTATCTGACGGACGTGCTCCCCGTCCGTGCAGGGTTGTGCATTTGGCGTGGACATCCACGTCCAGCTAGTTTCGTTTTCAGGCTCCAATATCCCTAAACTGACTGGCGAACGAGTACTGTTCCAGTGGAAGCTCACGGTAGCCCCTGTCCTCCAAGTGCAGGTTCAGCGCGTGAATTTGACTCCATACCAAGCCGCGCAGGGGCAGCGGGTACGTGATGTTGTCGGGAACGACGCTGTGTTTCTTGTTGTGGGCTCGTCCCTCCAAATGCAGTCGCACGCACTCCATACGGGCAGGATCGGGCTCCACTTCCAGGAACCGCAGCATCCTTCGCAGCTCGTACATGGGATCTCGCACAAGGTGCTCGTACATCACAACGTGCGTGGCGTTGGTGGCCTCCAGCCACTGCAAGTTGACGGCGAACCAGCGTCGGGCGTAGAAGCTCACAAACTGCTCCCACTCGGGTCCTTGGAACAGCTCCGCGCGGGCCCCGTCCGTGTGCAGAACAGACTGGGAGCTGCTGAAGTACATCAGCGAAATGCAGGCTTTGAACGGGTCACGGATGAGCAAAATGGCGCGCCTCGTCGAGTTGGGCGCGAAAGGAGCCGTGTCCGAAGGCAGCCTTTCGTTGTAAGCAACGACCCACGGCTCTGGCAGGCTATGAGTCTTGTAAACGATTGTGTTGCCCCGGGTCCAGCTGGACAAATCGCCGGCGAACCCTATGCGAGAAAGCTCCGTACCTCTGTTGCTCTCCATTGTGTTCCCCTTCATGGATGCATTGCGGCTCACTGCGGCGTTTCTATACTGGAAGTACGTTGGCCCTCCAGCGCTGGTGAAGAGGCCGGTGGCTGACTCCAGCAGGTAGCGGGTCCAGGTGTTGCCCGACCTCGGGAAGGACGCCAGGCGAACCGCCTCCATAGAACCGTCACAGGCGAACCTGGTGATGAAGTGGCGGCACTGGGGGCCGGAGAACCAAGCCTGCTCGGGTGGACTGCCTGCCCAGAGCTGGCTGATTGGCTGTCCCCTGTACAGGCCTTCTGAGTGGGACGCCGGCTGCTGCTGCCGCAGGGCGTCCGACGTCTGTTGCTGGTACGTGAGGAAGACCAGCAGCCAGCAGCCGGCAGCAGCCAACACCAGCAGCACCATCCTCTGCCAGCGGCCGGTCCGCACGGCCGTCATGTCAGCCGGTGACGTCTACCAGGTGGCAGTGCGGACCGGCCGGTGACGCCCACCAGATGGCAGTCCTGACCGGCCGGTGGCGCCCACCAGATGGCAGTACAGACCGCTCGGTGGCCCCACCAGATTGCAGCCCGGACCGGTCGGGCGCCCGGACGCCTGGAAAGTAAACGCCAGAGGTCAGCGGCCGCGCCGGAGGACGGAGCGTCAGCTCCGGAACGCCAATGCCACCCGGCAACAGCGAGCCGGGCCATAAGGCAGATGAAGATGAAGTTGAAGCGTCAATCGGGATACTGCGCGACAGGATTCAGCTGCCACCGTCGCTCTGAATGCGAGCCCGTGCAGCAGGCTTGTTGCAGGCTTGTCATAACAACGTAGTCGTCCATCGCAGTTGCAAATTACAACTTATGCTGGCATTTTCGAAACACGGAACTTATTTTGATCGGGTGGTCACCACACCCACAAGTCATCACGTGAGCTACCGCGTGGCAGCCTTGGCGGGGTGCAACGTTCATGCGATGTGCTTTTTCCAATTTCAAATGCCAGAGTCTCATAGGAGACCATTGCTACTCTTAAGCAGATTACTGAGTCCAAGGGCCCATGTATGTATGTATATATACATACTGATGCAGCTATATTGATCTAATTATTTCATATGTATATGGATATATATGTATATATATATATATATATATATATATATATATATATATATATATATATATATATATATATCAGGACACATTCTTACACAATGAAACAAGGTAGACATCGCTAGGTTAGATCACCCGCCACATCGCCCGTGGCAAGAAAGTGGATGGTTATGGTTAGCCAATTCAACACAAGCACGACGCTTTTCTGCGCGCAAAGAGGTCAGCTTGAAAAAATCACGCAACGAAAGATATTTTAGAATGAAAAAATGATTCCTTATAATTTGCAGGGAATGTGCAGACTCCATGATATTCAATGGTGGCTTTTTTGGTATGTATAAAGTGATTAGAA